AAGTGAATAACCGCTTTTGTGTTGGGCTGGATACAACACACAGCCAAGGACCCTGCACCATTTTCATGCTTGTCAGAACAGATGTGCTGTCGGAGTGCTGGCATCTGTGCCATGGAGTGTTTCTTTGGATAGAATCAGCCCCTTGAATTGCAGCCAGGAAAATTTGGAAGCCCTTGCTAGCTTAGTACTGGGGTAGTCCCCTGGGATGAATCAAAAGTTACGCAGTCACCTACTGCATGTACTTGCCTGCAGATTGTGGGTGTTGCTAATGGGGAATGTTGCTTGCATCTAAGTCAGACGCTACAGATCACTGGGAACAAGACATGACCTTTTGAGCCTTCTTCTACCCCCTTTCAAATTGTGGATGTCTTTGCTTTTGTATTTGGACAGAGATTCCTCACGGACATTTTTGCACACTTGTTTTTCCCTGTTTTGGCCTCCTCTGTTTAACATGTTGAGCTCCCTGTTAGCTTCCAGAGCCAGCAGGAAAGCTGATCTGCAGTTCCTACTGACAGCAAGCAATTCCCCATAGTGCCCTCACAAGGTCTATGGATTGTCATCAAGTACAAAACATTCCACAGCTGAATACCATGAGATATAGCTAACAAAGAGTTACCTCATTGCCAGCTTGAGCAGCTCTTCCACCAATGCAGCTAGTTCAGTTCTGTTTTGTAGTCAAAGGAAAGTCTAGCAAAGCTAGGGACAGGAAGCAATAAAGCATTGTCACGTTCGTGGATTGATTTTAAAAACATGAAGGTTTGTTGCCATTTGCTGTAAAACTCAATTTGCTTATGCAGACTTGAGCCACGAAGCCACCAGGCAGAAACCCCTGGGTAGGGATCTGGTTATCCTCACTGTGTTCTAAAAAGTAGCATTGTAGGATGGCTGCTCTTTGAGTGGGTTTTGGACTGTATTTCTTGCAGATGGAGCATATAAAATAGTAGTAGAATGGGTAGTGATTCCTTTAGTAGAATAGAATCATTCTACTAATGAGTAGTAGAAACATTTCTGAGTACCCATGTCACTGAAAAATAAACTTTGAGGAGTAGCGGGAGACTGCAGCTGAGTAGAACTTCAATGTCTTTGTTCCATACCCAGATTTATGTCATTAATCTCATAACGTAGGCAGAAGTTCTTGTGATTGTGGTTTTTTTTTTAAGCTATTGCTGTTACAAGCATTACATGCTGCGGTGCTGATTACCAACCAGCTCTTTGAATCACAGGGGAATTTGTAGCAGAACTGGAGCATCTTCTGCAATGAAACACTCAACCATTTTTTCTCAAAATATGTTTAAAGGATTAGGTAGCAGAAAAGGCCCTAGTCACCTTGTGTCTGACCTAGGAGTGCCCAGGGTGCTCAGCCAGGATGAACAAGAAGGGATGCTGATTCATGCCTCTGCCTAAATTGTGTCTGAATGTAGATCTTTTGCCTTTCAATAACGTATTCAGTGCAGGTGAAGCAATTGCTCTTCAATACTGGGAATACAAGGCAGCTGGAGGCAGTCCCTAGGACAGGGTTTTCAGACCTGTGGCAAACACAGCTTGAAGAAAAGGCTACAAAAGTTGTTGGCATCCAGTCTGTGGAAGATGCGGTTCTTTCGCTATGTAGGTGATGGTTATGAAGAGAGCATCACCTGGATGTTTTAAAGCCTTCATTGCTTAAATTTTTTTTTTTAAGGACTGGGGTTAAAAATGCTTCACAGGGCAAATTTGGGTTTATTTAATTCTGCTTTTTTAGTCACGGACACAGGATAAATCATTTCATAATGGAATTGAGCCATGTTTACTTTGATCTCTTCTATCATAAATAATGGATATATCTGAATTGAAATGCTGGATGTTCTGTTTTCAGACTGAAGTTTCACAATGCAGAATGTAACTCTGCTTACTTGTTGCTGTGCTACAAAATCTTTAAAGATTTCTTACTTTGGTGCCTTCTGCTCCTTTATGCTTTTGCAGTATATGTTTTCCACTCCGCTGCAGTGTGCTACTCAGATGTTTTCCTCTAAGCCGAGGTTTTATTTTCATGTGAGTTCAGGTATCTATGAGTGGAAATACTTTTCAAAATATCAGTCCTCATATGCAGATCTCAAAATGCTATAGACAGAGTTTGGAAGGAGATAAGGATCTAATTTAGGATTCTGTTTAATGTTGTCATGAGGAAAACAGGAGTATATCTTATTTTAAATTGGCAAATAAAGTATTCTGTGTTATATTGTGTCAATACTGTGTTATATTCTTCAGCACTTTTGGAATCTTTTTTTTTAATCAATTCTACCATCAGCTCTATATATCTGGATTCATAATGTATTTCTAACAGGTCAATAAATGTTTTCTCGCTTTTTTTTTCACCAAGGCATTTGTTTGAAACAGTTTGGGTTTTTTTTGGTTTTTGTTTTTTGGGGCTATGTATTGGACTGCAGTAATGGGCAGTTTTGTATAACTTCTTCCAATGAAGCCCCACTACAATTTGGCTCTATTGCCACTTCCACTAAATCCATGATGTGTTTTTGAGAACTCTTTGACACGATGTAGTTGGAATTTGTTGTGTTCAGCAAGTTCATTTTCTCTCTTGCTGTGTTAAAGTTAGAAGCTTTTCTCTTAGGCAATTTTTCTTGTTTATTTAATATCCTAAGATTTCCATAATAAGACTTGTAATTCTTCCAGAGATTTCCTGCTGTTCCCATGTTTTTTTTTATGTTTGGGCTATAATGAATGTGTTCTGCTACCCTTCTATGGGTTGCACAGATTCATAGGATGTAATTAGCTTTAAAAAACAAACAAACAAACAAAAAACACTTGCAATGAGTCGTCCCCCAGTTTGGGAATGCTCTGATGCAACCACAGTAGAACTTGCCTGAATGTCTTTGAATGTTGTCTTCTCCTATTAGTTTACTACTTACTTGGAAATGCAAGTGTTTGGTGGAATAAGCTTTTGTTCTATAATTAAGCCTGGGCATCACATAATGCCTTTTTAGTTGTTTTGTGGCCTTGTTGCACTGTTTTTCCATTGAAAAAGAGTGCTTTCAAAGGAAGAAAAAAAAGTTGAGAGCCTGAATAATCATAATTTTTTTTCTGCATCAAGTTGTTCAGTTCTGTTGTTAATGTATATTTTAAATATATATATTGCTGTTTCTGTTTTTAATAAATAGAAAATCTGGAAATATGCTTTAATTCCACAGCAGTGTGGCATGCAGTTAAGTTAATAAAAACAAATTCTGCTTTAATTGTGATTGCAAATTAAATTCTCTGGGCACTTCACGTGGCAAGGAAGCTTGGCCTCAGACAGAATATTACTTGTTTGCATGTTCTCTGCAAAGTCTGCAGACCTCCCTTTCTTTGTAAGGCTGGATTTCTTCTCGATGCACCAACAGCCACCAAATTGTGTATCTAGGATCTGCTTTGGCCTCGTAGAACCTGGGTGGGGTGATTACCCCCAGGCAAAAGACAAGACCTACTCTGCAGCAACTTCTGGGTTGCAAAAACCTTGTGAGTTTTTGGTTTCTAGCTCTGGAAGTTATGGAGGATAATTCCTATGCAGTTATGTGATCAAAAGTAAAATGTGAAAAATCATGTGGAAGGAAAAATCTCATTTATTTAGGGTTTTATTTACTTCTCTGCAGGGATCTACCCCCAGCGGCCCACTCCCTCCTAACTTTGCACCTGATCATCAATGTTTCTGAGACTGGTGCAACACACTAGGGATCTAAATTTAATATTAGGAGCATAATCTTATGCATATGCTTTGCAATGGAGCATGATAAAGCAGCTCATGTTCTTGGAAATAAAACTCAAAAGAGCAATAGCATCTCAGTGCTATGTTTGTGCTAATATCTCATGCGGTTGCATTGCTAATTAGGCTACTGATGGCAGGCATTTTTTTAGTTAAAGTGGTTACGGTGGTTCTTTTCTACCTCAGAGATGTATGTTGTGCCCGTGTGTTTTGTTTGGTGTCACGTGGGAATTTTGATGACCCAGTCAATTTCACATTGCTCATCCTCCCAGAATTCAGGCCTGTAGACCATGGGCTCATTTCTCTCCCACCGTGACCAGAAGGTCAAGTCTGGTGTGGGAGATTACTAGCAAGTGAAATTCTACCAAAAAAAAAAGTAGAAAAGTTTCCACTTTGGCAAAAGAAAACAAGCAAGCCTTGGATGAGATCTTCAATAATTCTAACCACTGTTCAGTTCTTTTTTGTTGCAGTCTTTGTACCTTTTGTACTCCACATTTTTGTCTGTGTAGTCTCAATCATTCATAGAATCATATCTAGTTTCAACCACATCCACAACCTCCTTGGGCAGCCTGTTCCAGTGTGTCACCACACTCTGAGTGACAAAACTCCTCCTAATATCTAACCTAAACCTCCCTTGTCTCAGTTTAAAACCACTCCCCCTTGTCCTATCACTATCCACCCTCATAAGCTGCCGTTCCTCTTCCTATTTATACTCCCTTCAAGCACTGGAAGGCCGCAGTGAGGTTTCCCTGAAGCCTTTTCTTCTCCAACAAGCCCAGTTCCCTCAACCTTTCCTCATAGAAAAAACTGTGAAATATAGGAGAAGCTAAGAAAGGACCTTTCTTCCTTTATCTGCTGCTGATTGGAGTTATCTCTTTTGCATTTGTGGTCTGTTTGTTAATTTATTTGTTTGCTTCTGGTGGGATGGAGCAAGAAAAATTTGCTCAGTCATATATATATGACTGAACAGATTTGCAGCACGTATTCATTCCATTAAATCCTTAATTGAGTTGTAGTTGATTAGCAGCTTTACAAGTGATTCTCCAGATGTTTACCACAAGATGTTTACCCATCGTAACAAGTCAACATTTAAAAATACATCTGAGCTGGTAGATGAAGATTGGATTCCCATGATGTATGTTGATTTTGTGTCAAACACTTGTTCAGCCCCAAATGATGAGGGCCAAATACAAATGAAACAACTGCAGCTGAGTTTAAAAAAAAAATATGGAGCGATGCATTAATTAAAATTTCTCTTGTATTGCAGTGTTCCCACATTCCAGAGCCTTCCTGAGGAGATACTCAGTAAGCTTGCAGATGTCCTTGAAGAGGTAAGTGTGTTTAATTTTGAAAGCTAATGAGTTCAGAGTTTGTGAGTCTTCTGGTAGCAATATCCAGGCTCTTTTCCGAAAGAACAGCTTCACAATTTTAATCCCAATTATGGTTGACTACTCCAGCATGTCAAAACGATGAGAGGAGTCGTGTGGAAAAAAAAAATGAATTCATTTCTGAACAAGGCTTACATATCTTTAATTGGATTTCCATCCAATTGAGGATCAAAACATTTGTTTCCTGTGCTGTGTAAAGAGGAAACCTTCTGCCCTGGGTCACTGGTGGAGAATAGGGCATGTGGAAATGCCATTTCCTTTCAGATGTGATGGGAAACTTATGTTAGAGGACAAAACCAGGCCTTAGAGTAGGTGTTATGGAAAGGCTACTCTCGTTAGAATTACAGCAGAGATGGGCAGGTGTAATATATGTCAGGAAACTTGAAAGCCTGGAGTTGTGCCTTGCCTACCTGGCTGTAACTGGTGTCTCATTAGTGTCAGGCTCTCTATTTAAAATCTTGTCCTGTAAGCAAATGTGTAAATTGGATGTAAAAATACGAGTTGCAGGCAGTTTGTCCACATAGTGTATTCAGATAGCTCTCCATTCTGGACCTGACAAATTGCTTGTTACCGAGCACTACAGAAACTGTTAAGAAAACCTTTCAAAATGTAGCCTTGTGTGATTTAACTATAGGAAACCTGTGTACAACAAGGTGTTTTTTGTCATTCCTTGTTACTTTTTTTTTAAGTACAAGCCTTGCCATAGAGCCAGTCCTAATAAATGTTTATGGGAAAGTGTTTCTCTGTACTAAGTACTGCCTCTGCCACTGATTTTAAGAAACAAAGCTGCTGACGTTTAACTTGATTTCCAGAGCACTGGTAGGACATTGTTATTTCTTTGCCTATTTATTCAGTATACAGATGAATTCACCTTTATCATGCAGCATAATTGCATATTCATAGATAAGCTTTATTTCCTTTACTGCTGGAGAAGTCTTTAGATTTAGAGAAGGGAGCTGTATTGCCTCTTTATGCTATGAATTAAATGTGCATATCTCCAACACGCCTAATCAGAAACAGGTAGTTAATTTGCTTGGATCACATAAGCAATGCTAAGCTCCTTATTGAGAGTTAACAAAAAGTTTCAAGGGAGAGTGGGCTTTGGGGGGAACTGGAACAAATATCAGTGAATAAATTAGGCATGGGAGTAGTAATCATCTGTAGGTTGTTCCAAGACCACTCTTGTTTATTTTAAACACTAAGGGCAGCTGCTATAGCCATGCTGTAAGGTTGTTCCCAGTCCCTACTGGTGATCTGCAGGATATGGCTCCCAAAACAAATTGTTTCCAGTTTCTGACTTGGAGTCATCCTTATTATTCCTTGTGTTTTTCTTTGACTTCATATATTTTGCATAAGCTATAAAATCTTACTATTACACAGTGCATCTTGTTTAACAGTATCCAACACGCTGAAACTAGGCAGCGATTGCTTTACTTTATCTTCTCTGTTGCTGTATTAAATGTTGAATAAAAGTGACTCATTCAGACAATTAGAAGCAGGGAAAAATCTTTCTTAATGTCAATGTTTCATGCAGTTTTTCTTTTGATATACTTCTATGAATTAATGCAACACTTCTGTCCTACATTCTTTTAAATGAATTCTAAAAAGTGTTAACTAAAGCCCAGAAGGGAAAAAAAACAACATCCTGTTTAATTGCCCATTATCAAAATCAAACCTGGGAATGGCCTTAAGAAGACAGAAGGAAAAAGGTCAATATTTGATGATATAATTTCATTTCTGGAATTGGTGGAAATACTAACTCAAGATATGTAGCACAGATGACTCGAATGAAAATGAACAAAACACTGGGGAATTTCCCTTTCAATTGCAGCAGTTCTGACTTGCGTATGATCACTCACATCACTGCAATTGCTTGTGATTTATAGGCGTGTGACAGTCAAAGCACATTTATGGAGCTCAGCATTAGCAGATCCAAACTCAAGCTACCCATTGTATTGACAAGGCCATAGCTGCTCCCACTTCCAGATCTTTTTCCCACTTCTAGGCTGAAGTTTCCCTGGACCCAGGCTGCCACAGCTAGCACTTATCTTGTAGGTTACAACTACAGGCAAACAATAGCCAGATGTGGGCGCAGCTTCTGCAAGTGCCCGAAGCCTGCCTCTGTCTCCTTCCATCCCAATTTAGTTAAATGAATATATCTTAACGTGACATAGATGCTTGCTAATTACACAATGTATAGTTGACTCCTTATTAACATTTTTCAAAATGTCATGTAACCACTGCAGTGATTCTCAGTGCCATGGAAAGCTGAGCAGCCCTTTCAGCAGAGAGGTTGATTTAGCTTGGCTTAGATGCCATCTCTGTTGAAACAGCTCTGCTTGGCCTGTGATTTTATTGCATTGTTTATCCTTGTGCTTACTGAACATAATGCATGAGTCAATGAGTAATATGTTTCTGCAGCTCAAGACTTGATGTTTATTTTGCTTGGGCTTTGGTAGTATTAAGGAGGTGGTTTGTGTAGTCACTCTGTCTGCCTGTAGGATAGTTCCCTCAAAGCACTTGTAACTGCTTGCTTAAAACAAGCTTGATATGTGGGAGGAAGCATCAGTGATACAAAGTTCCTATCAGATTGATCCAAATTATTGGATAAGGAGAGAAAACAGATTGAAATTATTATGTTTTGAGTCACGCAGGCACACTCTGTGATCAGCTTCACCCCTGCTTCGAATAAACTGAGCAGAGGTAGCTGTCTGGGAGAGGTGGGGAAGCAAAGGTTAACGGTGTTAACACTGTGCAGGGAATGAAGGACCCAAATTAATTATTCAGCATGACAAACAACTTCCTTAGTAGGACAATAAATATCATCCCTCTTTTGCTGTGTACTTGAGATGTGAGAGGTAACACTCGTTACTAGTGTCTAGAAAAAGTATACTAATGACATTTTTCTATTATCCCCAATATCTTCCTCACTTTCCTTTCTTAATTCTCACCTTTCCATACTCCTCTTCAGCTGGAAAATTCCTTCTTCACCTTGTTGTGCCCTTGGTGCCTTTTGTTAAAAATCAGTTGCTCAATGACAGTTGCCTCTGCCATGTATTCATAGTCTTTTTATCAAACAGGATTGAACTGGTGGCAGAGTAGTTTCTCTGTTGTTTTTCTTGTTTGTTTGGTTTTTGTAAAGCCAGTTGCCATGTTTATGTTTAAAATTGGAGTATTAATATAGTAAGAGGAAGTAAGTTGCCAGCATGTGGCTTAAACATCACTGTTCATCCCTAACCAAGTGCTGTGTGTCTCATGTGTCCAAATACCTGAATCAGCTGTGTAAGTATCCTTGCACTGTTTCCTTTGGGAAAGACATGGAGCTGTTAGAGCATGTCCAGAGGAAGACCACAAGGATGATGAGAGAGCAGGAGCATCTCTGTATGAAGAAAGGTTGCGGAAGATGGGCTTGTTCAGCTTGGAGAAGAGAAAGCTCCAGGGAATGCCTCTCTGTGGCATTCCAGTACTTGAGGGGAGCTTATAAACTGGAGGGGGGCTGACTTTTTACACCATCTGATAGTGATAGGACAAAAAGGAATGGTTCTGAACTAAAAGAGGTGAGATTTAGGTTAGATGTTAGGTGGAACTTCTTTTCTTAGAGGGTGGTGCTTCCCTGGCCCAGAGTGCCCAGAGAAGCTGTGGATGCTCTATCAACAGCTCCAGAGAAGATGTGGGGCCCTGGTCAGCCCAATCTGGTGGGTGGCAATCAGCCCATGCAGAGGGATTGGAATTAGATCATCTTTAAGGTTCCTTCCAACCTAAGCTATTCTGTGATTTTTAACAAGGTGTTATTAGGAAGATACTGAAGTTGCCATTGTATTTATTTACAGATTAACTCCATTCATTATATCCTTAAGAAAGGAGGACAGCAAGTCAGTAGAGGCAGATTAAATTGCCAGGATCTGCAGTACCAGTGAGGGAAAGAAAGGCTTTTCTGTGGTCATAGAAAAAGAGGAGGGTCAGGGAACAAACCACCAGAGCACCCGAACTCTCAGTATGTGACTCCTCATGGTAAATGTGTGGGTACAACGTATAGATGACCAAACAGACTTGAGAGCAGATACTGCGAAAAAGGAATTCATGGGCAAAGAGAGGGACAGCTGAGCTTGAGAAGATGACTGTGACGCATCCAAAGGAAGAAAAGAAGTCAATCCAGCATCTTTGTTCCCATTGTGGCCAAGGGTAGGAATGACCTAGTATTAAGCATGGGTAGTGCTCAGAGTCTCTGGGCTCTGACATCCCTTTCTGTTGGTTTTTGGTTTTTTTTAGGACAAAAATTACATATTTCATTGTGTCCTGCTTTCAGCTGAGACAGCATTAATATTAATAGGACAGCAGTGTTGTGGTTGTTGCTGAGTGCTGGGAATGTTCCAGGAGGAGAGCTGGCCTGAATTAGGCAAGGGCTTATTCCATAGCATGTGGGAGGCTATAGAGCTGTGAGGACTGGGGATCAGCCCCTGCTCAGGGATTGGCTGGACATTGGTGGGCTTTTGTTCTTGTTTTTATTTTCCTTTTCTGTCTTAGTAAATATTTTTTGTCTCAACCCATGAGTTCTGTTTTGCTTCCAGTTCTCTCTCTCTTCCCGCCTGGGGGAATGAGCAAACAGCTTTGTGATGCTGAGCTTCCTGCCAGGTTAAACCACAACACATTTTCATCTTGAGGTTGGTTCCTTTCTTGTAGCCTTTTCCTCCTTCAGGTCTATCCTTTGTGTCATTGAAACGTAAACTTATATCCTTGGAAGATTTATATTGAGTATTGGTATTACAGTTAACAATACCTTATAATTAAGGTTGTTTGACCTTTTCTTTTTTGAAACCATTTCCACTAGCTTATGATTTTGATGGCTTATCCATTTATCTCAAATTATTCCTTGCAGCTGCTGGCCTATAGGTGATTTTTCTAAATTTTTTTTTCCAGGTTAAACTACTAATCTTGTTTCAGAC